AGACTCCCATTCCTACTCCTTCCTTCTTCCAATTGCCTCAGAGCCACTCAGTTTTCTCTAAAGAGATTGGGAGAGACAAATCCCTTTCCTTCACTTCCTACCACACCAGCATTCTCAAAGGCAAGTTAGGCAAGTAGGAAGGAGATGGGAGCTGGGTCTCTGCAAAGCACTATTTTGTCAGCAAAACTTGGGAAACTCCTCCTGACTGTTTCTTAAGGGTATTTTCTGGAACTTCAGCTCAACTGGATTTAAGTTTGACCTTGACCTTGACCTCTCTGCCCCTACCACCTAATAGGCTTCTGGACACTTTTCAGGCATAATCCTGCTTCAGCTAGCCATGCGCTCTCATCATGCCGGGCAAGAATCACCCCTCTCTTCCCACACTGTCCTCCACCCCAGCTTCTAAAGTAGAAAATTTTCAAAGTGTGGTTCCAAAGAACCCTGCTCTATGGGTTAGGTAGGTACATACAGTCGAAGAGCATGAAGTTACCAACAGGCTTATTAAAAAGAAAGACCCTGGAGTCAGACCTATTGGACTAGAATCTCTGGGCAGTGGAGTAGAGAGGGCCATGGGGTGAGGGGGTAGGCAGCCTGAGGAGTCTGCACATTGCACATTTAAATAAGCTTCTCTGCTGATCGCTACCCACATAAAGTGGTGCTGGGAGCCAATAATCTAAGGACATCCTTTAGCCAACATTAGTCATAATGAAGACACACTGTTCTGCCCATTTTTATTTCTGTCCAACAAACTTGATTGAATGCCTACCATGTGCCAGGCCTGGGGTGGTCCCACGAGCCTCTCATTCACAAAGCTCTCAGGGAAAGGCCCAGCACACTAAACTCTTCTCAGGGCAGGGCAGGTTATCAGACGTCCACAGATTTAGAATTCCTGTCCTTAGGATCCCTTCTATCCCTGCCTCTGTCTTGGGATAGAAGGATGCTGCAGAGATCGGCAAATCTTGCTTAAGAGAAAAGATCTCCCCTTTTTACCCCAGTGAGCAAGAGCCTTTCTATCCTTTGGGGCTGTGGAGCCAAGAGTTTACATGTACTCAAGCGTCTCCAAGGGATAACACAATGGGACTTGTGGAGAGGGGTTGTAAGAGGCTTCTCAGGAACAACTGTAAACATACAGAAGAGCAGACTGCCACCCTCCATCACTTCTGTCTGCAGAAAAGAAGCTTGTTGTTCAAACGGGAGAGAAAGGTAGTCATGGGGGTTGGGTAGGGGTGGCTGCTGTGGTGAGCAGGATTGGAGCGATTTCAAAGCATTCCTACATCAAACACAACCTGGCAATCAGATCCCTCTGCCGTCATCTCCTGCTGAGAACTCACAGCACCAGGACCCAGCGGGGCAAGTGACCCTCGGGAATCCATGACTTGAACAAGCAATAAAATCAGTAAGACATTTCTCCCATATTCTGTGAATTTCCAGGAGACAAACTTTAAAGTCACTCAAAATATCATATATCTTTATACATATACTTCTCCCAATATCTTCCAATATCTCCTTAGAAAATTATAGATTCAGATTTTCCTAGAGTATGTTTATTGAATTGCTAAGATCTGTGCCAGAAATGATTCCCTTATTCCTTTGGTTTGAGAATATATTTTCCACACCTAACCCTCCCCTAACAAAAAGTTCTTACAAACTAGGTCCTTGGCAAATGTTTTTTGAATCTGAGCCTGAGACGACCAGTGTCTTGACTTCAACCTGACCAAGTCAAGAACCAGGCAGGAGTGGAGGTGGCAACTCTGAGCTCCAAGGTGTAGAATATGCCAAAGGCTGGGAGATTCAAAGGAGTAGAGAGAAGGGTGAACAGAATGTAGTTTTCTGTATGCAATTATTGGGGAACTGTTATTGGGTCTGAACAAATATTGAACATCCCACCCACCCACTCTTAACCCACAGTCTGAAAATAACACAGTTTTTAAAAATCTCATTCTCTTTCAGGACATTTTCTTCTCTTAGCAAAAGCTCAATCTCTAAAATTTTGCTTCAGGGAAATAGTGTGGACAGCTTATGGGTACATCAAAGTCAACGCTTAACTGGGACAGGAAGGATCCAACATTTGCTCCAAATGCTTAGCAGCAAAAACCTGGTCCTTGTTGCAATGAACATTGCCAAGTCACCAAGGCTGCCTGTTTTTCTTGAAACCTTAGAGAAAAGGCCCTTCATCTGATAGGTCTTGGTCAGATTCGCCAGTCAGGCTGGGTTTTCTGTCCTACATCCTGGGTTGTAGTCAGCTGGATGTCTTTCTCCAGAGAAGTTTACAAGGCCACTCTTCCTTCTTGACCACCTAGGGCCTCTGGACCTCAAAGTTGAGATCAGATATGTACCTTTTGAGAGTGTGTCTTACTGTTTTGAGCCAGGAGTGTGAGATCTGAGACATTATACTTGTAAAAACTGGCCATTAAAGTCTAGACAGCTGGTGAGATAAGGGGGCATTGTGAACTCAGCAGCATCTGATCTGCTGATTCTTTTGCATTAAGGTCGTAGAAGGAGGACAGTGAAGAAATGCATCTATATTTGAAGCCTCAGCTAGCTCTGAAGAGCTCTATCATTTCCCAACCAAGGTACCAGAAAAGAGCCTTTACTTTTCTCTTTTTAAAAATTATTTAGGACCTTTATCATGTGTTTGGGCTATAGGAGATAACTGAAGTAGCAACACCAAGTTTGAAGGGCTATTTCAGCACAAGATTTTTATTTCCCAGTTAAATCCAAGAACTTCAGCAGTGCAGGAACCCCATACCCTTAGCTTTGTGCTCACTCCTAGGTGTCTACCCTTTACCCTCCTGGCTCAGTTTCAGCCTCACCAGTGGTAACACTTTTGGCGCGGCTTTATTATTCACAAGTTCATATCCCTGTAAGGAACTGGCTCCCTGGTCTGTGATGGCTCATTTTCCAGACTTCCTCGGTGGAATTTTAGGCAAGGGCTCAATCGTTCTTTCATGACAAGTGGATCAGTAAAAGAATAATAAAGCTTCGTTCACCATAATTCAGAGGCTGTAATAGATCAAGTTCTCAAGGGCACTTGACTAAGTCAAGAGTAGACTCTTTATTCACACAGTTTTAGGAAACCAACCTCTTTCATTACTACTGTGTGTAAATAACATTTAATTTGTTATTTTTCCTACAGCCTCAAAGAGGCAAACATTTAAAAAAAATGTTCAAGGAAGCTGAAAAGTTTGTCAATGTAAAGCTTACCTTGGTAACCCTTCTACTCTTCATTTCCTGTGCCAATAGCACTTTTATTTCCCGTCTCTCTATACTCAGTAAACAAAACCATATTATCAAGGGAAAGACGTGAGCCCATTAACATTGTGAGCCCTCAGATTTCACTCGCAAGAGACAACGCAGCACTTATCTAATGGAGCAGAAGCTTTAATTGCTTCGAGGTACAAGCCCGTACAAACCTCTGAGATCTGACCGGTCCCTGGGAAGCCTTTGCGCCCTGGAGCCAAGCGCCTGGAAGAAAGCGTGCACAGCACCGGTGCGTGTGCCAGCCTCCCAGGGAGGAGTACAGAGAGCGTTCCACCTCAAGGGCAGATTCTTTATTTTGCCAGTGTAGACAGAGGGGAAAAATCTGCTAAACTTCCCACAAGGCAGAAACTCTGTCTTCTGTCCAAATCAAAACCTGGCACTCCAACACTCGCCCTTATGCCGCCACAAATGGAAGGAGTGGAAGAAGCTGGAGAGAATGCTGTGAAGTAAAGTGAAAATCTAGTCTAAAAGTGAAGATTTTGTGCCGCCCCAGGTACACAGCTCCTACAGCATAAAATTTAGTCCCAAGAGTCCGAGGGAGGGGAAAAAGAGAGGGGAAATTAAACATCTACTCCAGGTTTAGAAGAGGGATAACACCAGTGCTACGAAAACTGAAAAAGCATAAGGCTCAAGAAAAAGGGAAGAGAAATAAATTTACCTTCTCCGGAGGAGGCTAGGAGCGGTCCCCAAGGGCCGAGCTCCACGCTTCCTTTTAACCCTTTCCCCATCGCGGCGCCCACCACCCACTAGCCACCCACGATGCAGAAGAACATCCCCTGCATCCTCTTGTCCTTACCCGAGCGGCTAGTCCTGCCTCTCTGCCCCTACGTGGTTCAATACCTGTCCGGGGAGTAAGCGTCCCGCGCTCTCGCCCCGCCCTTCCCCAGGCAGCCCCGGGCGGGGCGCCTCTCCTCCGGGCCTGGGGTCGTTGGGCGGTGACCTCCCGCCGGTTTGGCAAAGTTGGCGGCGAGGCAGGCGCGTGGAGCCGCGCGCCAGCCGGGACCCGAGCCGTGCGGGGACAGCGCCCATTGGCCGGCCGGCGCCACGTGGCCAGCCCCGCCGCTATATTAGGCCACTATTTACCCTCGGCTCGCTTGCCATGGCTCGGCGAGGGCAGCTCGTGTAGAGAGGAAAGGCGGAGCGGCGCAGACCGCGGCGGTCCTGCCAGCCCCGCACCCGGGCCCGGCCAACGCGCTCAGGTGGGTGGGCCGGAGCCATGAGCTCCTACCTGGACTACGTGTCGTGCGGCGGGGGCGG